GCTCCCGGGCGCTCGGGAGGGGCGAGGCTCCGGGAGGATTCACCAATAGAGATGCCAATATTTAGCATACTCCACCCATCTGCAAGGCATTCTGGATAATGCCCAAACGGCGCCAATTCAAGTCATCTGCTCTTAAAACTTTGCATTTTTCAAAATACAAATGCAATTATCTTTGGCACGATGTTAAATCTGGATCGAGTCGTAACTTCTCGTCGGCGAGCTAGCACGGTAAATAACTTGACCTATTCGTGAAGTTCGAATCATCTTTGCCTTTATATAGCTTGCGTGCCAACGCCTGGCTTCGGATGTGAGGGCGATCTGGCTGCGACATCTGTCACCCCATTGATCGCCAGGGTTGATTCGGCTGATCTGGCTGGCTAGGCGGGTGTCCCCTTCCTCCCTCACCGCTCCATGTGCGTCCCTCCCGAAGCTGCGCGCTCGGTCGAAGAGGACGACCATCCCCGCTAGAGGAGGACCGTTCTTCGGTCAAGGGTATACGAGTAGCTGCGCTCCCCTGCTAGAACCTCCAAACAAGCTCTCAAGGTCCATTTGTAGGAGAACGTAGGGTAGTCAAGCTTCCAAGACTCCAGACACATCCAAATGAGGCGCTGCATGTGGCAGTCTGCCTTTCTTTTGACCGTCCTTCTGAGTACACTTAGATACATTCAAAAACAAAGTGTCAGGAAGTCCATATCAAAGGCAAAACAAGACCTTGCTATCTAACATCATTTGTGTTGATTAACTTGACCGTCGTTCTGAGTACACTTAGATACATTCTAAAACAAAGTGTCAGGAAGTCCATATCAAAGGCAAAACAAGACGTTGCTATCTAACATCATTTGTGTTGATTAACCAGTAGGCTTTAATTTTTCTAATTTTGTGTGTATATACATAGAATTTTTTGGCACTTCTTTCTTCCTTGATCCCAGTGGGTTATCTTGAGCTATGCTTTCATTTCGTACATTTTAGGAACGAATGCTCTGAGCCACAGGCTCAACACAGCGCTTGCCTGGAAGGGAACGGGGTGAGGGCGGGGGTGGGGAAGAATAGTGCTAAAAAAAATTTTTTTTTTGACTGTTAAATAAGCCAAAACTTTAAATATATATATTAAAATGATCAAGGTTATATGTTATAAAGTTTATATGTTATAAGCAGAATGCAATAGTCACATGGATTTTAAGATGAAAAACATATGCCTTCAAAAATAGTTATTGCTTTTAAAGGCAGCTCCTGCTATTTCTCAGGCTATAGATGTTACTTTCTTCACCCATGAGGAGCTCTCTGGAGTCCCTTGTTGAGAAGCCTGTGATGCTGAACAATTGCAGCGACTGACATGATCAGATTTCATTTTTAGCAGATTTCTCTGGCAAAAACGTGGAGAATGAATTAAGACAGAGACAGAGATACATTATGTCTGTGAATTAAAGTAACATTGTGAGTTTGAAGACTAAGAGTAAGAAAAGGTGAAATATTAAGGAGGTAGAAGGTAAAGGATTTATAAATCAGGTCAAAGGGAAGGGAGAAAGTGGGAAAGTCTAGAATGATGTCCCTCTTCACACACACACACACACACACACACACACACACACACACACACACACACACACTACCTTCCTTGCTTGTTTTTCATAATATTTATTGTCATCTAACATATGATACCTTTTATTTATTCACTTATCTGTCTATAGATTTCCTCAAATATAAATTCAATGAGATTAAGGAATTTTGTCTTTTTTTCCTCTTTTATATATCCTACTTAGTATAGGGTAGGCATTCAGATAATACTTATGGAATGAATAATGAGTGAATGATGAATAAACAATGTTTTGTTTTTCTAGTTTCATAAAGGGTGGAGGAGGAAGACAAAGCTTGTGGATAACAGATGGTTTTGTCTTTTGTTCTTATGAGCCATCCATCTGGAAATGTTTGCTAGACAGTGTATAAGCCAGTGACAATGGATCCTATCCGTGGCAAAAGGATGCTTTCATCCAGAGAAGGTATGTAAGGTAAGAGGAGAGGCAAGTCAAGGACCACTGGGCACCCTGAGGGGCAGAAAAGTCGTTTACTAGTAGAGCTAATAGTATATGTGCTATTTCATCTTTCTAATTCTAACCAGAGATTACCCAGTTTAACATGAATAGGAAGCTGTATTTTCCAACCCGAATGAAAGCTACCGTTCTTTTCTCTTGTTTTTAAACTACAGTTAAGGAAGGATTGTTGAATATTTGTGCCCAGGTCTACTGGATCTATTGAGATATAAAAATAAAACCTGACTCTTACTCTCAAGGAGCTTATCATTTTTTAAAAATTGCCACGTAAAGTTGTATATATGTATTGTATATGTCATACAGTCACCACCCCCCGCCAATACCCATGGGGGGGGGGGGGAATTGGCTCCAGAATACTGAAACCCAAGGACACTCAAGTCCCTTACATAAAATGATGTAGTATTTGCAGTTGACATACTGCACGTCTTCCCGTATACTTTAAATAATCTCTACATTATTTATGTTAACCCAAATAACAGAGAGAGGCCCCCTAAAAGAAAAGATATTTATTTGCGATGTGAATTTCCATGTCATAGTAAACTGTGCGTATTCAGGAAAATAAAAAGAAGACTAAAGTTTTTAAGGGAAAATATGAGGGTGGTTATGCAATTGTTTTGAAATAGTCATTCTTTGCTACAAAGATCAATAATAAAGGTGACGCCAGTATTTTTTGTGTAAAGATGCATAGCCTTTGTGTAAGGCTGTGGTTTTAAAGTCTTTTGTGATAGCTTTTATCAAACATTTAAGCCAAGCATTTATCTCCATTTCCTTAGGTCTGATTGATTGAAGCATATCAAATTGCTAATATCTTATTTTGTTTTCTAACCTTCAAAAATGGCAGATGTTCAACCTCATAAAATAGAGGCAACATCATCCTAGCAGCCTGATTCACCTGGAAGAGTAATTAAGGTAGTATCGTAAGAGGCTATTGATACACAGACTTGTGGAGAAGTGAAAAATCCTGTTATAATAGTTCAGTCATTCTGTGACAAGCACCCCTAGGCCATTTTATTTTGGGGGAACTCCTGAAATCGTTCTGTTCTTGGAGACCCTTGGAGTTGCCCTCAGTCTGGAACAGTCTTATTCTTTATGTCTATCTACCTGATATATTTTCAGAGGCCCTGGGAAGTCATCTCAGACTTAACTCTTCACTTGTCCACTCAGCAGAAGGTAAAATTACTTGAATAAAGATAAAGATCTTCAAACCTCAGTTATGAGAGGCTTCATATGTAAATACTTCTGGAAGAGGGAGATAATTGGCTTAAGTTCAGCCTTAGCTATGAGTGACTCGTGTCAACACTCATTCTAACAGCACATTTTCTTATCAGGAAGGATGATGAAGGCTTGAAATGACTTCTTCAGGGTTTCTGAAGGGGTGGTGTGGGTCCGATGTGATGCCAAAATGTTAGACAAATGCCCACCATTATAAAGTTGCCGGTGTTCTGATGGTGAGGGGGCACATTTAGGGATTCACCAAGTTTGGTGGGTAGACCATGTTCCTGCAAAATTCTATCAAGGAGTCAAAGAATGTTTAGCAAATGAATTTTTTGTTTTTTGCCTCAAAAAGTGACATTTATTCAAAGAAAAGAAAAAAGAAAAAAGATGACAAGATGGCCATCCCTTGGCTCCCTTCCCTCCCCCCTCCTGTTGCTCCTCAGACCAACAGGACTTGTTTGGGCTAGGTAGAAAGACAGCCCCTCTCAATGAGGTCAGCAATGGAGGTGTTGTAGAAGGTCTCGATGTCTCAAAGAGTCCTCTTGTCTTCTTCTGTCACCGTGTTAATAGCCATGCCCTTACAACCAAACCAGTCACCACGACCAATTCTGTGGATATAGTTTTCCCTGTTGGTAGGAAGGTCATAATTGACAACTAAAGAAACCTGCTGCACATCAATGCCTCTGGCCTATGTCAAGAAAGAAGACCAGCATGTAAGAGGTTGCACCTATCCAGAAAGGACTTAAGAACGTATGCAGGTAGGCAGTCAAAGGAAGGCAAAGGAAGGAAGCATCCCCTGTCCCCCAAAGACCTCAGGCATGCCAGATTTTATTCCAAGTTGCCACTTGCAAATGAGTTTCCTGTGGCATCCTCTAGGTAATCCATGGGCTTCTTTTGAAGGTTTATATTGTATATGTAAATATGGTGTGAACAGTTAAAAAACAGACCAAGTAGTTATTAAACGTGATGAAATCAGCCACAAGAAATGATTTCAATCTGCTTTAAAAAAAAAAAAAAAAAAATTCCCCAGTCAACTAACTTGGCAATAGCTGAATTTTAAGAAAAACTTCACGTTGCAGGATCACTCTTCATCCTGCTGCTCTATATGTAAGCTCCTGATTTCACAGCAATAACACCATACTGAGCACTAAGGAGAAATTATAGAATATCAAAGTTCCAAAGGAGGCAGCTGATGCACGAAAATTAAGAAATACTAATGGAAGAACATGAAAACAAAGCCGGCACATCCAATTTTTCTTAAACTTTAACTTTATTTGGAGCAGGAGAATTTTTCTTAAAATCAACATTTTTAAACACCTTGGGACAAACTATTCAGAAAGCAACATTTTATTTCAGAAGGGTTTTGCTTAACTGGTTTTGTGTCCTCCTGTCTTCTCGTGATTATGAATATGTGCTTAATAAATAAAGACATTGTCAGTTACTCCATTGTAATCAAATCAGGTGACTAAACTGCTATCTGTACTGCGATATCTGGATCAGAAGACTCTGTTCAGGTCGTTTGAAATTCACATTAACAGTGTCTATAACAAACTGATAACACAGATTAATGGGATATTTGCCACCAGTTTGTCTTCTTAATGGTTTCCATGAGAAGGTCCTTACAATAAATTATATAAAAGTACAGTACATTTGGTTGGAAATTGTAAAAATAATTCTAAAAATTAACCACATATAATAAACAAACAAGTTGCTACAGTATGCTTAAGTGATACAAAATAATTCATGTCAAACATTTTCTTATAAACATATTGCTTTTGTCATACGCTGAGCTGAAATATACAGCTTAAATTCCTTTTTCTCTCTCCTAAATGGCACAAAACAATGGCTTGATAGTAGAAAAATGCTACTTCATGAAAAAACATGGTGTCCATTAACACCAACAGTACCTGTATATGCACTTAAAAACATAACAATTCTTATTTTGTGTTGCCTTGGTTGTATTCAATTTTTGACACCCCCAGAAGATGACACAGTGTTTCTTTATTGGATGTTTATAGTCCTCTAGGCAAAAGATGTGTGTAAAAAATTGTTCGAAAGTCCCTTTTTTCTACGTAAATTCTATCATACATGAGCCGGGGAGGGCTTGGTAATTAATGGAATTTCGCTTAAAATGAACAATTGTGGCAAGAGTAGCTTTTCTGCAACTGTGCTTTTGCTGCTCTGCTTATTCTTTCCAGGGCACATGGGGGTACCTCTCAGCACACCACTGCCGCTGAGCCGTGGGGCACAGAATGAGAAACAGCCCTGTACTATTTTCTGACGTTCTAGCAAGTTTTCTGACTGTAGGTGAGGTATAGTCATGGATGGTAGTTACAGGCACAACATTCCTGTTAGTGTCTTGCATTATGTTTTATAATTCTACAGGAATGAAAAATATATGCAACAGGTAGCATTTTATGTTTACGTAATGCAAAAATGGTCACTGTTCCCTTCTGTACTACATAGAGAATCTGTCCTTCACTGATTGCAGGGGGGAAAGAGTACTTACAGAATTTTGCTAGTTCTTTAGAATTTCGATTGCTTTTTCAGTCTTCAAGTTTTCTCAACTGCACATGAGCAACTTGACTTTCCTATGAATCAACGTGTTTGGCTTCTCAAGGGAAGTTGTTTGCTGGTCAACAAAGGACAGGGTAAAGGGAAGAAATGAAGTATTATCTGAAGGTGGGCCCTATGAATGTGTCAGAAAAATAATTTTATAGGGTGTAATAACCAGGTAACTAGGTTTTTTCAATTTCAAAAAATGTAATGACCTTAACATGACCTAGATTACTGAGAATATAGTATTAAACAATCCATTTGCTCCTCTAAGGAATATTTACAATTTAAGACCAGCTTTCCAGCAAGCTGGGCAAGGTTTCAGATTAATTTACTTTTTATATATAATACAGAAAAGGAAATAAATATTAATCTCGTAGTAAAGGACTCATCTCTGAAAACACATTCTCTGGTGCTTTAGATAATGAGTTGAGAATATAATACAGAAATGAAGTCGGCTTCACATTGTGCTTGCATATATATGTGTTCTGAAGCTTTGCTGCCAGATTGTTAACTGGAAAATACCACTTATCACATCCATGTCCACTATGTGCTTTTTTCATGTCCCTAGGGATCAGAGTGTTTGATCAAATATACTTTTCCGCCAGATTCTCCAAAGCATAAATTTCTCCTGGATTTTAGCTTATGGCCCTTTGGAAGCCATGGTACTTTGTTCAGGCTGCAAAATATTATTAATGCACCAAAACAGTCATTCACCAACTCCTATGAAGGTGCCTATGTCCATTTGCCCTACAAATTTAGCCTACAAAATGAACATTCCGCATGGTTTAGCTTGCTGTTATCTGGGAACCTGGAACCAGCAGAGAGCAGTGTGAGCCCTGAGAGAATGTGGGTCAACTCACTGCTGAGACGACATTGTGTTCACTGGTGGTGACCTTCCCCCTTGACTTTAAGGTAACCATGAGTGAAGGCAAAATGTGCCACGTAGAGATGGGCATGTCTTTTCTGTCTCCAAACTAGCTTTGTCATTTTCAAAATTGTTGTAAACATTCCTCTCAATGGAACAGCCTCTGCCCAACAAGCAGAGTTCTCACTCTTGAAAGGGACAACAACAGGGTTAGGAGATCAAATGTGGTATGCTATGAACACTGACATCAGGCAGCTGTGACTTAAGTGGAACCTCTGCTATGACTCTTTTCTGTTTCCCAAATTGTCCTGAGAATTGGGCTAGGACAGAAGATAGTCATTGACAGCTCCTCGCCAGGCCTGGAGAACTGAGCTGAATGCAAAATCCCACCTCAGTTCTTATAATAAAAAACCTTCTGTTGCTTTGAAACCTAATATTTGGTCAGGCATCTCAGCAGGAATGTACGCTTAATTGACTGTTAACCTTTATGCTGAGAACCTTTTGATGTGAAAAAACTCTCCTTTTGTGGATACTTATCTGATTTGATTTCAAAAATGGAAGAAATTGGAATGTGATGGCAGAGTACAATTAACTTTGGTTTCATGTGGTATCTGCAACCACATGGTAAAATGTTTAAAAATTATGATGTACTTAGAGTTCTTTCACCTGGGAAACAAAAATGAACCAGAGTGAACTACATAATAGTCCTTTGAGAACAGCACAGTGGTATCGAAACAGTCAAACCCATGACACGATACTAAGAAAAGCAGAGGACCACCTTTCTATTGTCAGTCCAAGAAAGCCTGAAGGAAGTGCTTCGGGAGCCACATTTAAAATGTAACCACTCCACAAATACCCGCACATGGTGAGTAAATAACCCTCTATCACATAGCCTTAAATTGCACCCCTGTTGCAATACTGCATTAATATTACTACATTTTTCAAAATCTGTATAAAATATTGTCTGGAACCCCAAAGGAAAATCAATTAATCTCTAAAAAGTTCATTACAAAGTTGACTGTATAAAATGCCAAAACATAATCCATATATACAAAATGCAGTTGTTTAAGAAAATAATGGGACCCAGTTTTAGAATAAAATAATTTTATACAAAAAAGGGTATTGCATTCAAATCAATATTAAAAACAAAAAACTTTAAAAAAGAATATTGAAATGTCTTAGTTCAGAAGAACAACTATAAAGTGTTGATTTGCCTTCTGGACCCTCCGCACGTTTCCTGCAGGTAGAACACCCATTGGCTGAGGGCACAGGTCCTGCTTCTCCCAACCAAGGGCTTCATCACAAGATGCCGGTCATCGCCGAGACGCGTACTTGGAAGCCCAGTCTGTGCGGCCGTGCACTGGCTGGGCGGCGGGAGGCCGTGGTATCAACCCGGGAGTGCTTCTAGGCTGGGTATGGAAGAAAGGTCGCCCGGGATGCGGTCTCATGGCCTTCAGGGAAGAATAACCTGCAATGAAAGAAAAAGGCTGGCCTGACTCACATGGGACCCAGAGGAACAAAGCGCAAATACATGCATCTTGGTGACAAAAACGTCCGATAAGGCGTTTAAGGGGAGCATTTTGCCTCCTGCTTACCATCTTCCCTATCAGAATCAAGGACAACCCCATTTATAGTTGTCAAGGCAAACACACTGGTGCATTTTTGACCCCTCACTTTTTTCACACCTCACTTAGTCTGTTATCTTATCACCTTGACTCCACCTTCCAAATATACTCAGAACCTGGCAACGTTTTACCTACTCAACTATTACACACCTGTCTAGCGAGCATCGTTTCTAGCCTGGACAACTGCAACAGCCTCCTGAATCTTCTCCCTACTTCCCACCTTGCTCCTGCTTCAGTCTAATGATAACAGCAGTTCGAGGGAGGTTATGGAGACAGCTGTCAGATCACCTCGCTTCTCCACATAGAACCCCTCAGGGACTCCCACGTGGTGCTGAGTCAATGCAATGTGTATCCAGTGGCCAGTCACAAGGCCTTCTGCGTCGGCCTCTTGTTACCCTGGCCTCACCTCGCAGCCCCCCTCACTCATGCCACTTCTGCATTATGGCCTCCTTGCCACTCCTTGAGTGTGCTAGGCTGGCTCTGCCTCAAAGCCTGTGCAGTAGAACACCATCGTGCTGCAGGCTTGCTCAGTCGCTGCCTTCAGGTCTCCAGTCAGCAGCTCCTGTTCAGTGAGCTCTTTCTGGCTGTTCTACCTAAAACTGCAGTCTCACTCCACACTCCAACCCCACAAGCCCTACTTCCTGCCCACTTGTTTCTTCTCCTTGGCGTGGAGTCAGCAGGCTTGCTCTTTGTTAGAAGGGACTGACTTGCTCTTTGTTAGACAGGACTTATTCGGCTTACTTGCTGTCTACAGAGTGCAAGTTCCCTGAAGGCAGGGAGTTTGTTTGCCTCATTCACAGGTGGATCCCAGGCCAACAACATGCCTGGCACAAAGCAGCTGTTCAGTAACTAAGTGTCAAAGCAATTCATGAACAGTCTGAAATAGAACTTACCAGGGGAAGGGTCTGGAATGGGTGCCACATGTACCCTCTGCAGAGCAGAACCAATTTCTTTTTTCAGAAAGGAAGGGATATAGTTTCCAGTCAGTCCGCTAGAACTTGTAGAGCCAGAACCAACTGATTTACAAAAGCAAAAGTTCATTAATACAAAGACACATATGGGACACCACTAGGGTTAAAAGACAGCACTATAGGCTGGGAGTGGTGGCTCACACCTGTAATCCCAGCACTTTGTAAGGTCTGGGTGGGAGGATCCCTTGAGACTAGGAACTCAAGACCAGCCTGGGCAATGTAGCAAGACTTTATCTCTAAAAAAATTTTTTAATTAGTCAGGCATGGTGGTGCGTGCCTGTAGCTCTGGCTACTTGGGTGGCTGAGATGGAAGGATCGCTTGAGCTCAGGAATTTGAGGCTGCAATGAACTACGATCTCACCACTGCTCTCCAGCCTGAGTGACAGAGAGACACCTTGTCTCTTAAAAAAATTAAAAATAAGCCGGGCTCAGTGGCTCAGCCTGTAATCCCACGCCTTTGGGAGGCTGAGGTG